GTATACGCCTATAATCCCAGGGGCTTGGGAGGCTGAGACAGGAGAATTGCGAGTTCAAAGCCAGCCTCAGCAAAAAGCAAGGCGCTAAGCAACTCAGTAAGACCCTGTTTCTAAATAAAATACAAAATAGAGCTGGACATGTGGCTCAGTGGTCAATTGTCCCTGAGTTCAATCCCTGTTACCAAAAAAAAAAAAAAAAAGAGTCTGAGCTGTATTAGGTGGTCCTGGATCATACAAGCCCAGCTTCATCAGTAACTAACTGGCCTCATGATTCAGCCTCAGCTGCCTCATAGAATGAAGACTGCATCTACCTTTGGCTGAGGTTTTAATAAGTTAATGTGTGTGGAATACCTAACATATCTGCCACATTTCAACTGCTTAGAAATTGTTAGTTACTATCCTTAGTTTATCCTTAGTTTAAAAAATAGAATTAGTATGCCAAATATTTATTAGTGTCACATTCCATAGTCATATTTCCCTTTACTAATAAATTCTAATACATACTTAGTTTTCTTATAAAATGAAATCCTCACAGATGGGGGGTTTGCTTAGAGGCCCCGGGTTCAATCCCCAGCACCAAAAAAAAGCAGGGGAACACAAGAGAATTCTCAAAAAGTGAATCTTAGCAAGGAAAAGCAAGTAGAAATTTCATCATATGTCACCTTTCTTTTTGGGCACATCCCAATTTTTGTGTTCATTTAAAAAGTGTTTTGTTATGGATATATATATGTACGATCTATTATCTATAGTACAAAGTTCATTATAGCCCTCAGGTAATGTTAAATGTAGGTTGAGCATTCTTCATCTGAAAATGCAAAATTTGAAATGATCCAAAATCAGAAACTTTTTGAGTACCACAGCAGTGCTAAAAGTTTTGAATTTCAGAGCATTAAACATTTTGGATTTTTTGACTAGGGACGTTCAGCTGATAAACTCTATATAAAAAAAGTCCAAAATCAGAAATACTTCTGGTCTGAAGCATTTCAAATAAAGGGATCTTCAACCTGTAATAAGATTTTTAATAGAACTGAGCATAGTGTTTTACTAATCTACATTCTCATTGATTATTGATGTTGTCTAACATTGACAGGTCTGTAACATCATCTAGAAATTTCTAGTATCATCTTTTGGGAGATGATCTATTATACCTGCAGTAGAAATGAGCTACGTCAGGCCTGCTGAAAGACTATTTAGATAATAATTCTTAAGTCCTTTGTATGCCTGCCTTTGTCAAAGAAAATGGAAAGTTTGTTTTCACTAAGGTTTTATGAAGCAATATGTTAGCACTTAGAACTTTTGAATCCCTAGTTTTGAACACCAAATATATTGCCAGGTATATTGAGGACTTTTTCAGTATTTTAATTATTTTGATTGGCTGTTTCTTTTACACTTTCCAGGGAGAAACTCTGGAAACTTTGACAATGGCTACAGTGTGTCTCTTCAGTGCACAACCTCAGCTGGCAGATCAAGTCCCACCACTGGGCCACCTTCCCAAAGTTATCCAGGCAATGAATCACAGGAACAATGCCATTCCTAAGAGTGCCATTCGGGTTATCCATGCCCTGTCCGAAAATGAGGTATTTATGAATTTATTCTTTAGATTATAGCTCTAGAATTTTATGTGATTCCTCTTCTAGACGAATGCACACTAAAGTGTACACCCTCTTTCTAACAGGAACTGCATGGTATTTTATTGATTCTTAAGCCAGTTAAATGGTATAATTAACAGGAGATGGAATTTGACTCATTTTATTATTAAACTTGAAAGTAGTTGTTTTAAAAATTATTTTGTTACCTTGGTATCCACTATGCTTTGTAAAAATGTTTCTTTACTACAAGTAACCTTCTCTTTTGGGGACTTAGCTGTGTGTTCGAGCCATGGCATCCTTAGAAACCATTGGCCCACTGATGAATGGAATGAAAAAGCGAGCAGATACTGTTGGTCTAGCCTGTGAAGCAATTAATCGAATGTTTCAGAAGGAGCAGGGTGAATTGGTAGCACAAGTAAGTGACTTTCTAGATTCAGCACTATTTTAGGAAAACAAATGTAATAGACAAATATTCCCTGGCTAAGGTTTGATGGAGGTAACTTATAAATTTGTGCATGCACAAGTGTATATTTCATATTCAGTTATGTGTACACATACACAGAAAAGTGGTGCTAGGTGCTAGAAGTCTTACCCACTTCAAAATTTTGGCCACTTATTGTGCATTTATCCTTAGTTTTCTTCACAAAATTTGCCTTATCTGGTCAAATGTTCTCTCTTTACATGGAAGCTAAGTGGGGAGTGGAATAGAAGTTCGGTGGACTAGACAAAAGGGGAATGAAGGGAGGGAGGCGGAACAGGAATAAAAAGACAGTGGAATGAAACAGACATAACTTTCTTATGTTCATATATGAATATACCACAGTGGAACTCCACATCACAGTGGGATCCTCATTAGAACATGTATGTATCAGAATATAGTCTTATTGTCATGTATATTTTAAAAGAACAAATAAAAAAGAAAAAAACACTGCTTTATCCTCTTTGGAAAGATTTATTCATTCCTTTGTTTCTTAAGTCATATTGTAGAATCATGCCAAGACTTTTATTGTCCTTTTCAAAAGGACTTTTTACCTAGTGAAATAGGACTTGGTAGGTTATCAATGTTGAGTAGATAGGCACTAAAGACAGAAAAAGCACATCATAAATTTCAACAACCATTGCAAAAGTGATTTTTTTTTATTTTTTTTTTTTATTTTTTTTTTATTTTTGATTGTTCCAAACATTACAGAGCTCTTGATAAATCATCTTTCATACATTTGACTCTATTGTGTTTTGAACTTCCATTTCTACCCCAAATACAGATAGCAGAATCACATCTGTTACATACTCACATTTTTACATAATGGCATATTAGTGACTGTCTTGATCTGCTACCTTTCCTAACCGCTACTATCCCCCCTCCCCTCCCCTCCCACCTTCCCTCTCT